CTGGAGGATAATTAGTTGTTATTATATTTGATAAATTTATGGTACGTTTGAAGCGTGATAATATTCGATTCTAATATAAAAATTTCAAAACGAAAATTGAGCAATTAGAAAAGATGGTCTTATTAAGGAGGTATATATATATAGAGTATTTAGGCATAACAAATTATAAAATTTCATAAAAGGTTCAGGTACTAGAAATATTGAAAATTGAGATACCTCAATAATTTATGTCATTATGAAAAGGAAATATAATCAAAAAGAAAAAATTGTTGACAATACTTGTACACATGATGTATTGCATCATATAGTGAGGAATAAAAATAAATGAGTCGAAATATATTGATCAAAATGATGATTGGCCAAATAAAGGGACGCAATCATAAAATTGAATTTACCAGAGAAATTTGAAGTTTCTGGACTTGCAATTTGAAAATTTAAAGATGTATACTTATGCAAAAATAAAATGAAAAAAATGAAGTCATGATATGTAATATAGGACTTTTAAGACAGTGAATTTTGTAAAGATCGTGTTGGATGAAATCACAAGTCCATATCATGTTATCTTGATGATGCATGAAATTTGAAATATGTTATAGTTAATTCATGTGACATGACTATTAATGTTATTTTTGAAAGATTTAATATGCTCGAAACATAATTTAAGTATATTATTGTGGGGGAGTAAACGCGCATTGTCCTTTTTTTTCCTTGACTAAATTTTGTTCCATTGAGTTTTCCTACTAAAGTTTTTAAGGGGACAACTTTTGTAGCGTAATTAAAAGAATAATGTACTCTTTTTCCTTTATTAAGATTTTTCTTAGAATTTTTCCTAATAAGGTTTTAACGAGTCGTTTTCTTTGTGTAATGAATGATCATTACTTAGAAGATATTTACCTTCAAAATAATACTCTGATATATATGAGATTCCTGAAGAGAAATAAGAATTATTTTTCGAATTATCATGTTCTACAATCATCAAAGGCTGGTAAATATCTCATATAAAGACGATGTTATTTGAAAACTATATAAAACAACATGAGACATACTTCACAAAAAAATGTAATATTGAAGACATTGATAAACAAGACAATGATAAATTAATACAATAATTGAAATTAGGGGGAGAAATTGTAATCTTTTTTCCTTTGATCAGGTTTTGTCTCAAAGATTTTTCTTGACGAGGTTTTAACGAGATAAATATTTTGTATTGTATCATTTAATGGGAAGTGTTGTAAATAATTTGATTATTAGTGAATGACAATTATACCATTACAGTCCTAATTATTATTACCATTGTATCTCTAATTCTTCTTTGCAAATATGAGGTTTTCGGTTCTTAATAAAATACATCCAAGTCTATTGACTTCTCTTATTTTTTTCTCTTTTTCTCTCTATTTTATAACAATTTATATTTTTATTAGGCTTTATGTTCACCAACAAATTATATTATTAAATTCTATATTATTACATATTTGGCGCAAAACTTTTACCGTTCAGTTAGAGATTAGAAACTCATAAAATGTGTGGATTATTCTTATACTATATAATCAATCATCATATTGAAAGAGAGAAAACTTATTTATTCAAGCATTAGTAATTTATTTCCACGGGCCTGTGCTCACCACATGCTTTCTCTTTGTTACTTTTGCAGTACACACGTTTTTCTTGAAATCCCATTCACAGTTGACGGGACAAGAATTGAATCAAACTAGCTACATTCATTTTGTACAACTAATAGTTTGGCCATTTTTTTGAATAATTGTCATTCAAATCGATGACCAAACTAGTTGTCAACAAAGCTGTTAGCGAAATTGTATATGTAGCAAGACTGACAAGGACTTTAGCACAAACTAGAACAATAAAATAAATTTTGTTAGACTCTTCAACCAGACTCTATTAAGAATGATAAGTTGAAGCATTGGCATTCGTTTAGTAACAAATTAAACTGATAGGGTTCTATTTTAATTGAATTTTTAATCATGAGCATAAGCATTCTTTATTCACAAATTAAACTGATACAGTTCTATTTGAATTGAATTTAATTCTTCATATAAATTGGGTTATATTTTCCTCCTTATCACTTTGGTCTAACAGCATCCATCTTAAAGTATTTATTTCATTTTTACAGTGCCGACCCTGAGAATTTGAAGGCTCTTAAGTGAAAAATTATTTTGAGGCCCTATATTTGTTTACACATGTAACAATATTTTAAAACAAATATATCTATATTAAAAAAAAAAATTCGTACAATCTAAAAGATAGAATTGCAAAATAAAATATCACTTACAAACCGAGATATTAGACTAGCATCATATTTATTCTTCTCACATTTTGAATTTTATTGTTTCAATATTCTTCCATCCAAAAGGAAGAGGACAGGATTCCGAAATCCACAAATCCACAATTCTACCCATAATCATCATTCTACAATCCAAAAATCCAAGGACAGAATTCTAAATTCAGAAATTCCAATTTAGTGTTGTGTCCCCATTAGCAGTAAAAGTTGGGCCAAACCATATCTCTA